CTCGAACAAATGATTAACTCGCTACAACACAATTCAATGATGATCAGATGTGAGATCTAGAGTGAACGATTAAACAAGTTACCGTGGGAAATATCCCACCTACATCCACTACACGTGGCGTAACACTTCGGTCTGGCTCATCGTTGAACAACCAACATCTCGAGGTTTGAACTGAACGAGTCAGACACTGAATTCAGAATGAGGAAGTAAGATCATCAGATAACAAATCTTTTTCTACTGACGATGAATGGCGAGTTTGCTTTCTCTGGCACTCATACTGCGGAGATAGGGAGTATTAGGCTGGAGCATTTCCATCCTACCGACCCAGGCAGCAAAACTATCACTGAGCCAAGGTTCGAGGGCAACCAAAACCTGATTCTTGAAGCCAATGGTATGAACACCAGTAGCGATACGAGGATCATCATTCTGGAGCCTCCAGACGACCTCATCAGTGCACTTCTCGGAGGGCATGTCGAACAGGGTGAACAAAGGAGATGCCTTGCAACCAGCAGCAACACTGAAGTTAGTATCATTCATGGCACCAGGCTGGATAGTAAGGACACCAGTACCGAGAGTACGGCACTCATGGTCAAGGCATTTACCCCACTGGGTTAGGAAGCACTTCGAACTATAGTAAAAGGCGTTACCACTGCCAAGAGCATGTGCAACGATAGAGCTGATGATGCAGACACGACCCTTTCCACGAGGAACGAAGTGATGGGCCATGAAGTACTGTGAGAGCATCACTTGTTGGATAACATTCAGACGAATCTGAGTTTCCAACTTCTCCGGCTCGAGGTTGACGATATCACATGAATACATACCACCTGCATTCAGAACAGCAAGGGTGACTGGAAGATCATCAACGGCAGCACGGAGTTTGGCGAGACCCTCGTCACAAGACAGATCACAGGCGACGACGACAACCTTGCAACTCGGACCGTAAGTCTTCACCAAGGTATCCTTCAACTCGTTTAACAACTTCTCGCTACGCGCGGAGATCACAAGACTCCAACCTGCCTTGGCTAGCTTCATTGCGATTTGATGGCCCAAACCTTTGGACGCACCAGTAACAACAGCGTACTCTTGACGAGTAGCCCTCACTGGCTTGAGCTTGTAAGGATAACCCATATCGAAAAGTGGCCCTTGAAGTTTGAGGACGACCCAGCATAAAGCTACACCCGTTAAGATGATAGGTGCGCACAAGGCCATGATAGCTATAACACTCAGCCACTCGAAGAAGGTGAATGGATAAGCACCCATAGAGTGGACAACTGGTAAACTTTGCTTCTCAGCCATTATATAAAAAGAAGATGAACTGAATACAAATTCTCACAGGAAAAAACTTTATTCTCAACACTTGCTATAGAGCTTTATTTGAGACACAGCTGTTTCATTCGAGAATGCCAAAGATTCGCACTAGCGACTTAGCTCGTGCTGAAGGCTGGAGGGTGCAGCTACGTTGTGTCGCTGTATCCGTATGAAATTTCTTCGCTAGGCCGTCTGGGGAACCTGTGAAAGGAATTTGGTCAGCAGTGTGTCTCCATAGTGGTATTTCTATGGCGGAGGTCAATATAGATGGAATGTACGCTTTGTAGGATCTCAAGTTCTGAGTGAACCCACCGAATATGTTTTATTTTAACAGCGAATACTGGTGAGTATGGTGACGATCTCGACAGCACATACCTTGTGACGTGTTTGCTGCGGACGTGACCTTATGCACTAAGTGTTCATAGTTTGAACTTCATGCGCTATTCGACTCGAACAGGTGAACGATGCCAACATACCAACAACATGTGTTCTTCCTTGTTTTCCTATTTTCGATTGAGCGTAGATTTTTCCCCAATCAATATTATAAACGATCTCGGCTCCACACGAAATTGGCCTAACGAACAGCTACACTATCTTACATATTTCGTCTAAATTGAGGCTACTTTGGTCGTGGGAACGAAACTGATCTTCCTAGCGCGTGCTCCCGCAAGATCGACCGTACTACGACGTATCGTTAAGCTATGGCATAGGTGCCCTCCTCCTAATGAAAGCGGAATAGGTCTCCCAAAGGTGTAGAGATGCAGGGGAAGATGGTGTCACGGCATGATAGAGCCCAAGAATCACTATACATAAGTCTCGGTAGCTCAGGAGGTCCCTGTTGGTTCTGCGCAACCTGTGGTCAGGGTTACGCCTGTGGTCGGGGTTCCGCGACGAGACGTCAACTGTGTTGGGGCGAGCGCTAACGATAGCGAAAACATAGATAACGCAACATAGGATAGTTAGGATAGTTACATACTAACACACATATAACACACCGGATAGGATGGATAGATACGGCAATAAAAAATAGCAGGCAAATAAAGATAGAGATAAAGATAGATCAGTTGTTAATTCAAATTTTCTTCATTTTTTAGTTCATTTTTGCGTGCCCGCCTTCTTTCCCTTTTCGCCTTCTCGGTGGCCTTCTTTCTTTCCCTCTGTTCTTCTTTGTATCCCTCTAGAACCTCAATAGGGTCACCAAAAGGGCAAAAAGTCTGACCTCGCCCAATGAAACTATGCGCAACGTCGCCATCACTCTTACTCCAAGCCATCGTGCACACGGTGCATCTCTTTTGCTTCCCTAGATCTGGATTTCCTGTCAATCCGAGAATGCGGAGCCGTTCAGCAGCGCGCTCCCTCCGGTCTTGCATACCAGGCTTTGCAGCCACCCGTTCTGATCGAGCGCGCTTAGTTCGATCCTTTGGCGCCTCCGGACACTCGCCATATCTCCAAGCGCGGGCGGTAAAGACATGAGCGTTTTTCCCACGAGTTAACGGCTTCCCGCAATAAGGACAAGTGTAGCGACTAGACACACAAGCGGAACCCTGTGATCGCTCTAATAATCGCTGAATACCATCCACTGGCTGAGGTCCCGTATCCACCACTCCCTTTGATATCACTGGTTTCGCCTGTGGAACTTCGAGGTTGAGCCGGGCTGCCGTTGAGGACGTGCGATGGTCCAGCATAGCTTGAACTTCTCTCTCGCGCGCCTGACAACCTTCATCGAACAGGCCGCGTTCATGTGGATTCTCCATTAGCTGTATCTGCTTCTTGAGCCACACTTCTGCGCGCGCGTAAGAGACGCTGAACAACATAGGGCAATCGTCGCCCTGACTAGTCGCTGCTGCCCTCCTCATCTCGGACGCTCTGTAACGCTGATAATCCTCCAAACATTCATTCACCAACCTCTTTCCAGAATATTTGAGGCTTTTGAGAGTAAAGATATCCACCCATTTGCTTTCCATTTGCTCATTGAAACTCGGACTGACATTAGACGGCGCTGATGTCAATCTCCTCTTCTTCGCCACGTTGCGTGGAGTTCTCCCTGAGAGACCTCCGAAGAGCTCAAGATCAGAGTCTTCAGGTTGACGTGTAGGATCTGTAGATTGGCGACAGCGTTTACGCGTATCATTGTCCTCGGGTAGCGATGCCTTCTCCGGAGCGTCCTCTGTGGTCTCTATAGAACATTCGCCCAACAGTTGATCAATGCTACGTCCCTTGAGGTTAGTGTTCCCGAAGAGATCCCACAGGTCTCGATCATCCACAACGTCGTCTGGCGAGCTGACATCTCCTCCAATATCAGTACTTTCGCTCACCTCGAGTAGTTCGCTGATGTAGTTATCACCTATATTCTGACTATGTTCAACCTCTTCCAACGGATCCTCAATCGTGGTAAGATCCTCCTTGTCGAGCCAGTCTTCATCATTGCTCAATGCAACTTCGGCGGCATATTCGAACCCCATGAGAGGCAGAGGATCTTCGGGCGATGCTAGGCTCCATCCTGGGAAGTCTCCCGTCGCACCCAAAATCTCGATCTCAGCAGGCGCGAGGTGTTCTGGTGGTACACAAACGCCGAGTGACGCGAGCCGTCGACGATTATAGCGCATGACGAACCAACTCACCCGAGCCGTATACAGCAGTTTCCCGATTCGAGAGGAAGCAAAGAAGAATTTCCGCATAGCACTGTGAAATGCTTCGTTCTTGCTCGTTCCCCTCAATGAGGAGAACTCTTGGATAAACTGACCAGTTGAGCGGAAGTCCACCATCCGCGTTCTCACGAATGGTGGAGCTTCGTCACAATCTGCCACGCAGAAGTTCAACACGTGCGTCAACTGATTACGCAGACAGTGCAGCCAGGACGATGTTATCAAAGGATATCCTATATCCGCGGGACTGAGCCTTTGGATGGGATCACCAGCGCGCTTCAAACCTTCTAGTGCCGCCTCGTCATTTCTCTTATGCTTCAGCACAACACGCTTGATCCTCTCAGCAGTTTCCTCGCCCCCCACAATGATGGTGCGGACAAAGCGAGACCTCTCTGACTTGGTGGGAACGCAGTCTAATCCTGCCACTTTCCTTACCCCCAGTAGACGCGCAAGATCTTCTGGATGCGCTTGATAGAGTGCTGCTGCTAGGTCCCTGATCAGCTGTCGTCTCCTGGGATGTTGTGCGTTTACCAGTCGCGATAGCCTCATCAACAAATGGAGTCCATCTAGAGACACTTTCCGGAAGCGCTTACGCCATGTACCAGCAGTGGGTTTCCCAATATCAGCTGCTGTAGAAGAGACAGCACTTTCACCATTGGATGCAACGGTAGACTGATGGTTCCCACGAAGGCGGCCATTACAACATGCACAATCGGCGTAAAAGATCATTTTCCCCTCGCGCTCTGGATGCCTATCGCATATTTCGTTCGCTGCTCGATCAAGCCAGGACAATGAGGTGTCTGGGGTGCAGACGATGTTAAGACACACACCCGCATCGCCCATGAAGCACGCAGCCTGGCCGGCTGTACCGAGTAAGTCAGTGCAATCCACCCTTCGCACTACTTGCCTCTGATGGTCCAAACTCACGCCGTGGAAGGTTCTAACTTGTCGGAGCTCTCGCCTCAAACCTTGGCGGTTTCTTTGATAATCGCATAGGAGTATAGTAGTCAGGTGTGGTTTTGATGGAACGTAGTGCTTCGGGAAAGCTGGATAATCGTCAAGTTCACAAACGTTCTCTATCCCTAGACCTCGCCCCTGATTCACAGATTGCCATCTTTCTCTGAACTCGTTCCTCGCAGTCAAGAACGTTTTGTAAACGTTAGACTCGATCAGTCGCTCCACCTGAGAGACGGTGTGTTCACGGAGCAGCTTCACTATGCTATCATCGCTTCCGTTCGATGCACCAGTCATGCAGAAAGGCAATTTCTGCCTTATCGAGTGGGGCAACGATTGTATGTACACATAGTCTAGGCTAGAAAAGTGTCTGCGACAATCCGTGTTCCCACACTTCGCATAGATGGATTGGACCGTATAGGGCCAGCAAAGATTATAACATATTTTGGTCCTACCCGGCTTATGACCAAGCACACGAGAGCTCCCACAATAAGGACAGCGTCCCGTCAATGGGGCCCAAACGAATAGTCTCAACCACCCTCTTTTGCTCGCATCGGAACTCTGATACCACCCACAACCGATATCCTTTAGCTCGCTGACGGTCAGACTCTCGACATCAGAGGTATTCAAGAGAATTGGGTGACGACTTGTGACTCTCGGTTTTTGAGTTCCCTCGGTTGGTGAAGAACTGGGTGAACCCCTACTCTCATATTCTGGCTTCGAAGCTTGGGACTGACCTTGCCCATCGTTTGATTTTAACGTGACAGAGCTGAAGGAAGGAAGGTTTTGTTGAAGGTTTGAGCGCGGTTACACGGAAAAGTTACCTGGGTGACGCTTCCTTTACTTCGTGGAACCCACATATGCAGTCGTGCCATCCTTTTTGGAAGAAATTACGCTTGGGGAGACATTGGGCTGGTGAGCCTTTGTATGGGCAATTCAAAACGTTCTTCACGGGTATACACCAGGAACTTCCCTTCGGAGGAGCCTCCCCGCGGCCCAGCTTAGCAGATGAATGAGCTAGGGCCTTGAGTTTCGTCTGCCACTGTGAGTCTGTCTTGGCGCGATGGGGCATAAGAGCACACAAAAATCTACCAAATTCAAGGTCAAGCATCTGTTCCTCTCCAATTTCCTTCTTTCTCTTTCTCTCTTTCCTTTCTTTTCTCTTTTTCTCTCTTTCTTTCTTTTTTCTTTCTCTTTCTCTCCCTTTTCCTCTCTTTTTCAAATTTTTTCTTTTCCCCCCTCTCGTCAGAATCTCTTCCCCCCAGCC